GCAAAGCATTATGCTTTAAATCTAATCAAACTGAATAAGTTGAGAGTAAACTCAAGGCAAAAACTTTCTTCAAAAAACACCCACATATAAATAGAAAACTATTCATTCTTTGCGATATAAACAAAATATATTACTGTATACTTTGATCATGAGAAGATCACTGTCACAAGACCAGTGTGAAAATGTATGTTTACAGATGCGTGAGTGAAAGTCATCAATTTTAAACAGATAATAAAAGATAACAAACAATAGCTCATTTACAATTGCTATATTGAATCAAATGTAGTTTACTGTGGCTGTAAAACAACAATATCAGCGTAAAAATACACTTTAAAAATTAGGATTTGCATATTTCCCATAGAGATATCATTGAAGATAAGAAGAAAACACACAGTAGTAAGAAGTAAAAAATGGACACACCTAGATAAGGTGTTTGTATTTAGATCCAAACAGAAGATTAGAAAAGAAGCATGAAGATTAATCACTTTTAGTTTTGGTGCATCAACAGTTAACTTTCAAGTTATTCCGTCTAGCTAATTATAATAGTAGCAAATAGGTCCAACTGGAGCCTTTCCGAGGCTAGTGCCGGTCCCAAGCCCGGATAAAAGGGAGGAGGGTTGGGCATGAGGGTTGATGACCCCATTCCGCAGAAAAACTAACTCGCTAAAAAACCCTAACAAGAAAAAAACTATTCAAACCATATAAACTCTAATCTAGGAGTTAGAAGGTCTTCATTTAGAAGAGTTATGACGTTTCATGATGAAAGCCGAGTTCCTTTGAAAGTCATAAGGCCGATGTCCCTTATGACAACCAGAACCCTTCCACTGTGTAGGCAGCTGGGAAGTTACATCCGCCTTCATACCCCATAAAAGCACACGAGACCGAATTGGTCACAATCAAATAGATTGATTGATTGGTTGATAGTAGCAAACGACAATCAATAACCAACCAATCAACCACATAATTAAATTGTGTAGTATAGAATATTCCCTATGAATAAAAAAATAAACTGTACTAATCTTCTATTCACTGACTGACGTTGAAACGTATCATCTATAAATGGTCCCTAATCCCAATCACATCATATAGAGACAGTGTCGTGTTAAACATGAATATACATCGTACATATTCAGTTAGTATACCGCTACTCTAATTTTTTGACTAAACATAGAAAAAAATACCTTTCTCTTATTCACACGAGTACAACTACTTGAATATACCAAACTTTTTCATTGATTTCTAACCTTTCATCAGTCGGTTAATAAGTGACTATCAAAAATATACCGGATTTATTAAATATATGAACAGTCAGTTAATTTTAAATAATAATAAAGAATATATTGCATAGAAGTGTTATCATGTGACTGCAAAAGATATTCAAGATAACTAAATTGTACTAATAACTCTGTCACAGAAGCATATTTCAATAGGGACAAATTCTTCATTAGACTATGAATCGTTTTTAGAGTAACTACTACTTACAACTTTAAAGTATACTTAAAAGCAGATAGAATCATATCATGAGTGTTTTGATATGAAGATTAAAAAACTGAATACAAATCATAACGAACTCGTAAATGATGTATAAGAGATATATATATATATAGTTGAATAAGTGTTCACTACTAATATTACTTTTGAAGTTATCTTTATGTTCATTGGTCAGAGTAACTGTCATCAAATTGTTTTGGGTCACATTTAGAGATATGTTTCATTTTAATAGAATGGTATTGATTTTAATCATTATTATTAGTAGTAGTAGTAATGATTACGAATACATTGTTTATTACATATAGTTGGTTTTGTTGATACAATCTAAGAAAGATTAACTGAAAATGAGGTAAACAATCGAAATTCTATACAGTAATTGTTCATTTAAACTTTACATCCATTTTATAACAAATAGAATTCTCAATTCAAAAGATAACTAACGAAGGTTACTGAAAGTTAAACATTACAAGTACCACTTCAAGCTGCTTGTAATTAGATATAAAACGTTTAACCTATATATATATATATATATATATATATATATATATATATATATATATGTGACGTAAAACTTCATACGTAAGTACATTAGTTCAATTTTCCATACCACATTAGCACAAGGACGTAATTGTCAACTCGAATCCTATAGTAGGAGTGGTAATAGAAGTATTAACAGTAATCAGAGAGATTAAAGTTCGAATATATTATTCAAGAAGTATAGTTCAGTGCGATAAATTTAGAAAGTGAGAGATAAAGGTGATGAGGAATTCAATTTGAAGGAAGACAAAATATAGACGCATCTACACCATTGCAAACGGTTTTGAACCATATCATTTTGGGGTCACTAACCATCGATTATTATCATCTCGCGGGTCTCAACCAGGGAGTCGAACCCTACGAACATGACTCAGTCCACTTGTCAGTGACTTCAAACCTACCCCTACATCACAAAACATAGCTCGACGGG